AGAGAGGCTTGGGGCTCCCCGCCCTGCGGCGGAGCCGCTCCGAGCTCGGGCTGCTCCCCTGTAAATCATTCACGGGGCCCGGGCGCTGTTTCTCTGCCCTCGCAAACATCTCCCGACGAGGCCGAGCGCTTGGCTGAGGCGGATCTTCCAGCTCACCTGCGAGAGCCCCTCGAGGGCCTTCAAATGACCCCCTTGTGATGACTCCCTCTTGACCGCGCTCCCTTCGGGTCACAGGTTGCTGCTTCCTTTATTATAGGAAATAGGATCAACCCGCTTGGGGTGGTGGTGGCTATGTTGTACTTGGTTTATTTTGCCCCATAACCACAGCCAGCTCTTCTTGACCATGATCAGTTTGTGCTTGGCACAGTTTTAGTGCCCATTCCCAAGCAGATACGGATGGCCCCCCCCCCCCCCCCTCCCTATGCCCCCCCCCCCCCTCCTTTCCACTTCTATTGCCTTAGGTGGGGGATAAAAGGACCCATCCTGGGTTATTTGTACCCAAACTAGAAACACTTTTTTAAAGGCTAGAAATCAGATTCTGAAGGCACCAAACCCCTTGTCTTGGGCTCCAAGAGCTCCAGGGCAAAGCGCTGTTGCCTTGGGGAAAAAAAAATAGGGCTATTAATTGCTAGGGGCAGCGAAAGATTTGCAAGACTTTACAACCATTTATGGCCGGGGCAATAAAAACTCGGCGCTAGGAGCAGCCTGGTTCAAGGTGTAATGCAGAGATGTTTCAGGTGCCCTTGGCAACTATCTGTGGGCGCTGTTTGCGTTGGCAGCACGCGCCCTGCCCGGCCTGCTGCAGACCTGGGGCCCGGCTCCCCCGGGCCTGGCTGCACCGAGTCCTGCGGACGGAGCAGAGCTGGGGGCGTAGATGTGAGTGAGACGATCCTGGCTCTCCTGCCCTGGGCGCGGGCAAGCTGGAGCCAGGACTGGCCTCTCAGCTAGTGCTGACACAGGGCTCTCCCCTTCAACCCTCGGTGCTGACCGCGAGCCCTTCCACGGGGTCACTCGTGGTCTGGGAGCAACCACGGCTGTCCCTTCCCTCCTGGCCGTTTCAGTCCGATTAGCGTCAGTCCCTGGCAGCCTGAGAGGGGCCATTTCCGCTTCTGCCGCCCTGAACTTTGGAAGTTGTTGCCACGAGGCAGGGAAATGAACCCGGGCTCGGGGCAGCGCGAGCCTGATGATGATCAACACCCCGCCGTGCCAGAGCACGCCCGCGGCGGCGGCATTGCGAGACCGAGCCGTGCCATCTAGTGGGCACAGGAGAGAACGATGTGCCAGCTGCCTCCGCGGCTCTGCCGAGGCTCCTGCCTCAAGGAAATGAAATACATGCCCGGAAAGGGCACGTCTGCAGCAGACGCTGCCCCTCCGTTTGTATTCCTCTCCTGGATCCAACACAGACAGAGCAGCCACCCCTGCAAATTATTTGCGCAGGATGGGGGGAAGAGGAAAAGGAGGGGTCATGCCAAATATATTTGCATAGGCACAAAGGACGTGATAGAACTCATCCAGCACGAGCACAGCTTCACCTGTTGTCAGGTGCTGGCACTTTACCGTCGGTGAAGATCAAAAACCTCCTGCAGCGGAGCAGTTACACAACACATCCCAGGAGCTGCAGAGAAAAAAAAAGTAATAGAGAAGGAGGGCTGGAAAGGACCTCCAGAGGTCATCTAGTTCAACCCCTGCCTGAGGCAGGATCATCCCTATCCAAACCATGCCATGAAGGAAGTGTTTGAGAATTATTATTGCAGTTTGGTTGTTTTTAGAACTAGAGTCTAGTACTTCATAAAATGTAGCATGGTGGAAGCTGATGTATGTCTGAGAAATCATAGGGCAGCTATGTAGAGGTAGGAAATGGTATTGTGCTCCCTTGTCCAAAGTGGCTGCATCCCAAGTGCAGCTGTGCAGTACACATGTCTGCAGTGGCACATACCGCACATTCAGCTGTTCTCCATGCTGAAGGGAGGAGCATCGGAGGGCTGGGGGGCAAGTTGATCACTGGATATCCAGGGGTCAAAAATACGCATGCGAAAAAAAAGCAGTGGCGCACTCAGGCACAGCATGTGTGGCTCAAAACCAGAGCCTGGCCAGGCAGAGCCACACTCCAGCAGCTGGCCACGCTCCAAGCAGCAGGATCGCCATTGCTGCAGCCCCTGGAGTCCCCCAAGACGCCAGGTAAGGATGCTGGGGCCATCCCAGTGCTGGCCCCAGCCTCCCTTACCCCACCTTGGGTAACCTACTACACTCCAGAGGGTGCATGGCACAGGCATTCCCAGGGGACAACTAGTGGCAGCACAAGGTGTCCTGTTGCTAATAGCCCCTGGGGAACCAAATGTCCATGCTCATGTGGACGTGGCCAGTGTGTTCTGTTAAACATAGCTGGTCCAATAAATGGTATCACCCTAAGAAATCCTTACCTCTCGCATAATTTCTGGACCATCACAGCTACAACATCTCTCATACATTACCGTATCCTATTAAATCCTCAGATGAGATTTGTTTTAAAGACAAGTGCATGTTGTAGATATTTACGATTATGTCTGGGCAGTACAGTACAGTGCTGTGCAGATATCCTAATAACTAGTTTATTACTGTGCTTTAAGTGGAACAATAACTATGAATAATATTTAGAGATATCACCTTGATTATGTTGCTTGACCCAAGGAAGCCAATAAGAGGCTATCTATGGGATGCTTTATACAACTGGGCAAATAATTCAAAACATAACAAGTTTATTACAACTTTTAGTGAATACATGAATTCGCATTATTTAGTGTTTACTATTTTAAATAGCAAAATATTTCACAACACTATATAGTTACTCTTTAAATGCTTGAGTGCATCATTTCTAAAAATACATTACATATTCTGTGACTTAAAATGTTGTTTTATTTGAGAAATGTATTGTTCCCTCCTAACATGTTGTAAAATACTTCAGATTCATACACAAACATGATCCAAAGAGTTTACTTGCACAGCTAATACTGTTTAAACTAGGCTTGCTTCCAGCCTAGATAAATATCCCTAAGACTGCACAATCTATCCAATGTGGACTTCTCTTAAACGATTCAGACTGACATGGTTTGGATTTTTCCCCATTACTGGCTGATATAGTGTATTGGTTGCTCCTCTAAATTCCCCTGGATCCACAGGTCTAGAAGTTGTGTCAGGAACTCTGGGCAGAGAACATTGTAAATGAAGCAGTTAAAACCAGAGCTAGAGTGGAAGCATGGCTAAACTGCAGCAGCTACGAACAAGGATTGGCAGAGCTAGTGTGTACGCACTGAACCATTAAATTGGTTCTGTCTCTCTGGTGCCATTAGGAATGTTTCAATTCTTAGTATAGACTTGACCTAGAAAAATTACCTTTTACCAGTTTTGGGATATCATTTACAGTAAAGAAATTAAACTAGTAAATATTCCTAGAATGTTCAAATATAGAAATGCCCCAACTTCTCTAATCATCTGTTTAAACAGAATGCCTTCCAGCAGCTTTAATTACTCAAGTTAAAGCTTAACTGACAAGCTGACATTTCTTTCCCACAATATTGGCCTTTAGAAAACTCCCAGATTTCACTGTTTCTAGCATCTGATCTGGGAACTATATGATAGATTTTGCAAATTAAATGGTATAAACATAGTACAAAATGTAAACAGATTTAGCAAACTGATGTGGCTTCAGCAAACTGTGTGTACTTAAACTGGTTCAGTGTAACCTGTTCAAACACAAACGGCTCAGTTCTTTAAGGAAGATCAGGCCTGAGTGACAGCAGTGGCAGTAGGTAGCTACGCCTTGTATATTTGTATGTAGTTAGTACACACTGTTATTTGGAGCTCAACTATGTCTTTGTGATTTTCTCACATTCTTAATATTTTGTTCAATGATATTAATCTGGCCAGGCAGAAGTTAGGGCAGGGTGGCACTTTTGAGACTAACTGGTACAGATATGTATGAGCTTCTGTATGCAATGTCCTACTTCATCAGATGCCATCAATGGATTCTATGGTCTTATAAAATTAAAACCTCTTTCACATTGACAATAAAAATCTTGAGCTATAACATGATTTCAATTAAACGTAGTACAGACATTAGCTTAAGTATAAATATTTCTTGTATAAGAGATGACCTCATGCTATTTAAAACATTAAAAGTAAATGTTGCTTCTTAGCCAAAAGGTCAAGAAGCCATTTTAGTATTTTAAACATACTACAAACCTAAAAGCTTAATTTAAAATAAAAACCTAATTCTAGAAACAAACTTAGCACAGTAGTTTTCTAGGTGATGTGTGTGTTCACTTGATACATCATTTGTAACATTAATGTACTAGGCAACCACAAAAACGTGAAAAAAATAAGGATACCATATACAAAATGATGTCATGCCTATTAAATAGAAAAAAAGTCCATATTTTACTGCAACACAGCCATCTTACTTCTACTTCATGGATTTTCATTATTGATGTAGTTTTTGTTCTGCTGAGTTACTGACCTAAGTGTTTTTAGGAACAGGATATATCAGATAATATCTGTGTCAACGGACAGTATCCTAAAGAATTCTAAATGCTTAGAATATTATAAATGTTTTGAGACAATTGTTATAGATATCTTTGCTAGGGAAACCTTGTAGCATTATAAGTGTATAGTTAAATTAGTGTCGTATGTTCTTGGGAATGAGAACAAAAATATAACAGAAATTAGGAGTAGTCACAGATGGAAGAAACAGGGATGCAGCATCCAGGATTAAATTACCACTTCAAGGTCATAGCTAGCTGTCCCCATCAAATTTAAAAGGCATGTGGGGAAAGAGCTGTAAGGGATGCCCTTGGGAAGCAAGTATTTTTGTGCTGTGTGGGCTACCACCTCCATATCACATTGGACTTGATTCTGTGTGTGACCAGTATGTATAACTTGTACATT